ATTTATTTGGAGGTTTATGTGACTGTCTGGTGAGGTTTGGACACACACACACACCCACACACACACACACACACACACACACACACACACACACACACACACACACACAAAAATGACCTTTATTACTAGCATATGCAGTAAATCATCAGCTGCAGGTGGAAACAATGTGTGTGACACTAAGCAAAATGAGGAGAATGCAGCTAATGCATCAGTCCATTACTCCACTATTAGAGTCCCATTATGAGCGTGCCACGACCGGGACGTTTATTACTCTGCATGCTGGAGACTCAGAGCGGGAACTGTGCAGAGATGACTCTGTGTGTGTGTGTGTGTGTGTGTGTGTGTGTGTGTGTGTGTGTGGTAGAGAATAGCTTTCCTTTTTCAGATGACATTAAAACCCTCAGAGAATGTGGTTATTTCATGACAAAGGGTTCTTGTGCTTCCTGTCTCTGCCACCGCTGTCAATCATTGTCATGCTACACTTTCAGTTCAGCACTGGGCTGCTCGATGAAAGGTAAACATGCCACTGTGATACTCAGTGGTGGGCCTGCTTCTGCTAATCAGCCAACAGCTAATAGCAGAACTAAATTTTTTCTTTAGCATATTAGCTTTGCACAAACTCTTAAAAAAACATTAGCAGACCAATTAGCTTCTGCTACATTAGCGTTAGCCAACTTTAAGTCTGTTAACGAATAACTAACGAACAGATTTGTTGTCAGTCTCACCAGCCTTCAGCTGGAAGAGACAAAGACGTGTGACGCAGACAAGGACAGTCGTCTTAGCTGTTAGCGTTAGCTTTGGCTAAGTTTTCTTTTACATTTAACAATATATTTTTAATTAGCAAATTATAAACTAGCAAAGCTAATATTATGGTTAGCTGTGCCCACCACTGCTGTTACTACAGTTAAATATTGCAATAATAAAAAATGTATAATAATTTAATTATTGCCTGCCACCAAAATCTAAAGGAGAAAGAGGTTGTTGCCCATATCTATCTGTTTGTGTGTCCTGTAAGCAAAATATCTCACGTATCAGTGGATGGAATTGAACTACAACTAGGTAAAATTTACCGATATGGGCTAAAGTTTAGACAACATATTCTGAGCACTAACTAATCAAGTAAGGTGCTAGTCAACCCTCGCTATCTGTTAGCCAACTACACTTTATGATGGCCACCACAGCTAAGTGACTTTAGACAGCACAGACCTGGCAATAAGTTTGTCGAATTTACAAATAATGAGTTCAAGTTTAATGTGGTGAAAGCTGAGTCATTAACAACACATACATGGAGTATTAACATGTTAAAACTATGGCATGAAGAGGGTGGGCAATATGAGTTTCTTCAAGGAATGCTAGACTTTTAATTAATATAGTGCTCAGCCCTAGAATAATATACAGTTTCCAGCACAGCTATAGATCTTAATGATTAAAGCTACAGTAGCTGCAGTAAAGAAACACTTCCAGGTATGAAATCTTGACTGTAGACTGACAAACACTATTACCACCTTAATATTTGCACAACCGTTATGACTTCTCCGTTTCAGGCGAGGCATTGCAATTTATAGCCAAGCTGTTTCAATTACTTCCTGCCTGATGTGGGAGTTTAAGTCTCCCTGCATGCAGAGACTGAATTTTTCAGCACCTGGGTAGCCTGCAGCCTTGAGTTTTTTAGTCCAGGCTCGCTACACAATAACCATCCTTCACCAAGATTTGCATGGTGACTAAGATACGGAAATATGTGGTAACTACATCCCTTGGGCTGAGGTTTGAAAATCTAACCTCCACATTCGGGTGTCTGTCTTCACTGGCAGTAGGGAACGGTACCAGTCAGAGCTAATTTTGATAAGACAACACAGAGCCTGAAGACGCTGCAGCTAACAATAACATGGAGTGAATTTAATGGAAACGTGTCATACAATGTTTAAATATTCAAGAAAAAAGGCTAATGATGAGAACTGGAGAGTGAACTGGGAGATTTTATACCCTTTACGTTTGTGTGTGCAAGACATAAACAAATCTTAACAACCCATTCAAGACATTACATGGATTTATGTTTAGCAGAAGCTTTAATTCAAAGCGACTAAAAAAAGAGGAACAACATGAAAGTCTGAGGAACATGTTACCATTAAATAATAAATCAGTGTAAAACTAAGATGATGTTAGAAAAACATGAATCAGAGTGGGCAGAAACAAGATTAGTTCTCTGGAGAATAGAGTGCAGGGATGTCTAATCCTGGTCCTCGAGGGCCATCTTCCTGCAAGTTTTAGTTGTTTCCTTGCTGTTTGGCAGGTCTTCAAGTTCTGCAGAAGCCTGTTAGTCACTTTATTCAAATCAGGAGCATCAAAACAGAGAAACATCTGAAACATGCAGAATAGTGGCCCTCGAGGACTGGAGTTGGACACTAAAGAACAAGCGAGAAAAGCTCTAAAAGTAGCCGGAAGCTTATTGTTCAGTTTAAAATTAAGCTGAAATCGCTTCATCCAACAGAATGGAGGCACCAGAAAATATTTTTGAAACCCAAAGGTCTAAACAAAACTTAAATAATAAGGTTTGATTCTTGTCTGGTTCTTATTTTCCTGATTTTGTTCTCTTTGTTTAAGTCATCAGACATTCACGTACGTTGATGATACTTTTGTTTATCTACATGTAAGAAGTATTGGCTGGTTTATCTGTAGTCCTGCTCACAAATACACATAATGACACAAATGTTTCTCAATGATGTCATCTACTGTGTTTGAAATTAATTTCAACAGTAGCTATAGAGATTGTTTTTTTACAGAGTTCACTGAGTTTTTATTTTAAGATTTCATTTCACAGTTTGTCTAATTATCATAAAACTATAAACATCATGCTGAAACAGTTGAGGTTTAATAAGAGCATCTGATCATTCACTTCCTCAAATATAAAAGTAATATTTTCAGCTTTTTTTAAAAACAAATTTTTTCAGTAACCATGCAAACAGTGAGGTTTTCACATGTAGGAGTAGATGACTGAGCTTTGAAAACTAAAATATAACTCCCAAAGTGCAGAAAAGTTGACACGAGAACTTAAGACAATATGAAGCAGTGAAATGGAGAGAGAGGTGAAGAAAGTTTAAAACCTAAAAATCTTTCTCATTCTTTTCCCAGTCAGAGCAGAGAAAGTATGAAAACCCAAACAAGTGAAACTGGAGGGAAGGCAGCAGTAATATGAGTCTGAGTGAGACATGGCTGCAGGAATAAATCCACTCATATCAGATGAAACCAGCAGAGTGAAGACACAGAGGCAGAGCTTCAAACTGAAACAGAAACAAACTGCTAAACACAACATTCTAACAAAATGACTCTATATAATAAACTATCAGTTTTTATTCAATTTTAATTCATAAATGGAATTTTCCCCCAAAATATTTTAACAGCAAACATATATTTTCCATTTGGGAATTGATAAAGTACATTTTCTAAAATTAATTTACAATTGATTCCCTGCCTAAAAATAAAGAGAATTCCTTCTAACAATGAGTTATTCATTATCTAACAGTGTGGCTACTTATAATAAAAATAATTCTAACATTTCTTGAAGGAATGCAGGTCAAAGGTTTGCTCAACCTGTCAGTGCTCATAGTCTATGATGCAGATTCTGTAAAAACCATTTTGTGTGGATCGTTTTGCACATAAAACAAAAAGTTTAGTCCAGGAAACCAGAACAAGAAGCTTCAAATGCGGAGAAACCACTTCTGTTCCTCGCAGTCTCACTGCAGAAGAAAATGAAAACAACTCTCTTTTCTCTGAGTCCCAACAGAAACCAGAAGGAATAAAGATAAAAACAAAAACTTATCACACTTTAAAGAAG